GGTTTTGGGTTCTTAAGGTAAGCCCTTAAAGCTCAATTACCACCCTAAGCCTCATGAGGCTGAATGAAAGGACACTCTGGAATTACAATCAATGAACTTACGAAGGGCCACCATGACAAGGACCCGAAACCCTATACTGTCCGCGAGCCGAGGGAGATTCACAAAACTTGCCGACCGGTTTGGCGGTTTTGGGGTTCTCCGCTTTGGGGCTTTATGGACCCTGACCGGTGAAGACTGATCTTACATCTTAACTGTAAGAGTGAAGATTCTGATAGAGGTCCCAACGACGAGTCCTGTCAAGAGGGGGCGATGGCGTTTATACACTCAGGGCTCGAGCCCTAAACCCTGAAGCTGTAAACCCCAGACGCTGACCATAACCCCAAACCGCATCTCAAAGGCCCTAAGCCCCAAACCCCCTAAACCGCAAGGAGCATTCCTTAATCCAATCGAAGAATGTCGAGAGCCCGGCATCCTCAACCACAAATTATAGACCCTGAAGCGTAAGGGTCGCGTTTGGGATCCGGTAGATTGATCTTGGGGCTCGGGTTCAGCCCAGCTCGTTTAGGGTTTAGGGTAAGGTTACATCTGAGTTCGGGATGTAGCAGTCTCGTTTAGGGCTTTGATTCCTCGTAGCTAGTTCCTTGGCAAGGCAGGCACATCGTGGATGGGCGCCTCGGCATGACGACCTGTCTGGTAACACGAAAGATCCTCAACATCTGGGAATGTCATACGTTATCCCGCGCCCAGTCTCAAAACTCTACTAATTTCTCCGTTTGAGTGCGAAGTTCTACGTCTCGACCCCCCGCCAAGTTACAAACCACAATAAGTTTGGCACTGGCCTAGGGCGCGAAGGGGGTCTTCAAAAGAGGGGCCTTTGTTCCTATGCTTTCGGTTCAGAGTCCCCTAAACCCTAAACTCCCCCAAAGCAGGCACAATCATGGCCCAAAACCTCTTAAAGGCTAACATTCTACATACTTATTGGGGTCCGCGTGACCCTAAACTCCCGCAAGGTAGGCAAAATAATGGCCCAAAACCTTTTAAAGGCTAACATTCTACATACTTATTGGTGTCCGGGTAAACCCTAAATCGGAGTCCGTGGGCTTTGGCTTCGGCGGGGGCTTTTTGTTCGCTTTATTTTGTGGTCTTCGGTTCCTTATAAAGCTACCACCTACCAAAAAGGGAGCCCTTTTTATTCCCAGGTCACTGGGGATGATAGGGTTCAAGGTTTGCAATTAAGAACTGTGCCAGAACGGCCATAATATGCAGACTGGGGTTATAGGAGTGTGACCACTTGCTGTTGCCCCCCCATAGACCCTCAGTGCGATAGAGGCCTGGATAACTAGCAGTACGATCCAGATATCCCTCTGGTAATTTCCATAAAGTTCTGCTATGGTATAACCGCACAGTGCTATACAAGCGAACGTGGGCTGGAAACAGGGGCTTCTGCCCTTGCATTGCATCCTGTGGTATTGAAGTTGCGCATTATCAGGACTTCTAAACCCGAATGCTCGACCTAAGCCCTTAACCCTAAACCCCAAATCTCTAAACTCTAAAACCCTCAAACCCTAAATCTCACATCTCTAAGCCTTAAGCCCTAAACCCTAAACCCCTGAAGCACTCAACCAGGAAGCCCTCAGAGAAGAGCTTCGAACCTTCAGACCTCAGTTCCGAAGCTCCCAGATCGTTACCCAGAGAACCCAATACCCCTTAGTTCAGGAATATACCTTAAATCATAATATGAAGGCCCCTACAATTTTGAGGTATAATATTCTTTAATTAAGGGGTATTAGGATCTCTGGGTAAAGCCCTCAACCTGACACAAAACGCAGCAGACTACATACCCCTAGGCTTCCAAGAACCTTTCTGTTGGGGCCTTTGACCCCTTAAGGACCCAATAATAAGGCCCCTGGAGGCCTAGGGTAAAATTTAGGGTTTAGGGTTTAGGCAAGTCTAGGGATTTAGGGTCAATAGAAACTCCCGGGCCGATGTGTCCTGCTGCCATGAAGGAAGCGCTTCTGGGCCGTGCTGCTCCTGCCATCTCTTTCCAGCTCCCTGGCCCATCAACCACGAGGATTACGATTCGGGCTTTTGGACTCACTGGTTGCAGGTTTGCGGTTTGGGTTTGAGGCTTAATGACCCTAAACCCTAAACCCTAAACCCCAAACCCTAAACCCTAAACTTTAATGACCCTAAACCCTAAACCCCCCCAAACCCTAAACCCTAAACAGTTTAACGAATCCGTAGTTCAGGGTTGAGGATGACGAAGAAGTTTAAAGGGGTGCCACAGAGTCTAAGAGGGCTCTCAAGCTGTGTCAAGAGGCGGGGTTCGGAACTCGTTGCCAGTTTGTTGTGGACGAGGGTGGGGTCTTCCACCTATGTGGATTTAGGGTGTAGGGTTTAGGGTTTAGGGTTTAGGGTTTAGGGTAGAATGTAGGGTTTCTATATTAGGAATTGCGATTATGATTTGGGAAAGGTTCCCCCATACCAGTACCCAGGAACCCTGTGCGTCACTAATATAAGTATCTGACTAGCGCTTTGGAGGTTTGCAGAGATCAAAAAGTGACTCGCACTTACATGGTGCAAAGTAGGTTTCCATGTTCTGATTTCCTATCGGCTACAAGGGTTTATACTTGAGATGAGATGTATCCTCCGGTTTAAGGGCTCCGGAAGGATCTGCGGACATATTGCCCTTCGAGTTGGAAGAAGGCAAGAAACCAGAGTCAGAACAAGATACCGTGCAATATGAAGCATTGGAAGCGTTTGGAGCTCTGTATGAGCCTCCTCAAAACCTGTAGACCCGGTATAGAGACTTACTGAACTCTCTTGAAGCTTGAACCATAAACCCTAAACCCTAAACCCTTTAAAACACCTCAGCCTCGGTAGACCCGAATCCCCGGATCTGCCCTGAACCCTAAACCCTAAGCCCTAAACCCCAAACCCTAAACCCCAAACCCTAAACCCTAAACCCTAAACCCTACACCCTCAACCCTAGACCTCCTTCTGGCAAGGTCGTCCTCCTCTCCAGAGCCAGGCGCTTTTACCCAAAATCTGTGGCTGCTTTCGGCCGGGAAATTGGGAAGCATGGTCTACGGATTGAGTCCGTGGACAGTAGGCTCGGGTGTAGGGTTCAGGATTTAGGGTTTAGGGTTTAGGGTTTAGGGTCTTTAGACTGCATCGTTGGGGTCATCAGGGTGTGGGGTCGCAGGTTGGATTTATCCTGCTATTCTGAAGCCAAAACCTAGACCAACACATTCACAGCTCGCAGATCGATCGCCATCGCCGCCACCGGAAATGCTGGATCCGACGCAGGCCCCTTATATGCGAGTTCAGGGTTTGGGGTTTAGGGAAGGGGCTTAGGCTTAAGGATGTTGCGGTATGGGAGGGTTTGGGGTTTAGGGAAGTGGAGGTGCATTGAGACTCAGGGTTTAGTGGTGCAGGCTTCATATGACCAAGGGATAGGGTGCAGCGTGTCAGAGTTGGGTTTGGGATTCAGGAATTAGGCTTAGAGCTGCGAGTCTGGCAAAGCTTTGTTTCGGTCGTTCATTTTGTTGCGACTGCACTGCTTTTGCGAAATCGTGGCTCTCTGACATTGCGACCCCCTGGCCACAGCATTGCTCCATTCCTGACCTGCCAGACCCTAAACCCTAAACCCTGGAAGGGAAGCCTATTCTGGCCTTCAGGTCTAGGGCTCAAGGTGGAGGTCGAAGGTTGCCTCCCCCCCAAACGTTACCTTCCCCTCTGGAAAAGTAGGTTTGGGGTACCCAGGTAAGGCTTATAGGGTTTGAGGTGGTTCAGGCTGAAGGGTCAAGGGTGCGTGGACATACGGCCGGTCGCAAGGATTTGTTTCCGGGCACTCAGACATGCTTGGCCCCTAAACCTTGTGATTGGGAACTTCTTGCCTGTCCAAGGTATTTACGTATCAATGTCTGATCCGTTCATCATGCATGTATATATATATATATCTATACACACACATGCATACCTCATAGAAAGCCGTTGTATTTCCTTCGAGCCCTATAGGCCGCATAACTTCAACCCGAAACGTACCATGCTGAAACTCTGAAAGCGGTTCTTTCAACAGACCCTAAACCCTAAACCCTAAACCCTAAACCCTATAAACCCTATAAACCCTAAACCCTAAACCGACAATATGGGCAGGCGCTCGAACCCGCCTTCGCCCGGGCGGCCGCGGCCGCGTCCGGACGCGCCACGGGGCCGAAGAAGGATCTTGAAACCTTAAGACTTTATAGGGTTTCAATAGGGTGTTGTTTAAGGTTGACAAGGGGTGTTATTGCGTGTTTAAGGGATTATGCAAGGGCTTACTGTAATCGAGTTTATATGAGGTCTTATAAAGTCTGAGAGTACCTGTGTCAGGCTTTACAATGGTTTTTGGATTTATGGGATACTGCAGTACTTGTAGTTCCTAGTACTTCTTACTTCTTATCTCAAGAGGGTGATATCCTAGGGTGTTGAAAGGGCGACATAACTTGTGAGTATGTTGTAAGAGCGTGAGCAGGGTTTATAGGCTGCACCTTGCATGACTTCATCAAGCTGGCCCAGAAACCTGAATCAAGTTGAGGGAATGCTGCTTCTATCTGAAGCGCGGAAGGAGGGGGGAACATATGGATCAGTGAGCTCATGACCCACTTGGACAGAAATCCAACAACCCCAGGCCATCCTTTGGTCGTGCTTCAAGCTGAAAGGGTTTAGGGTTTAGGGTTTAGGGTTGGGGTTACCGGGATTGAGTTGGGTTTTCTAACTGAAGCTTCTTTGAGAAATCCCTTTGCAAGTTTGACAGCATGAGGCGGTCGTTCTGTGAATTGCGGGTCATATACCCGAAGCACAAGCATCGACACGATCAACCACATGTCAGTCTGCTGCTGGAGAAGCTCCAGGCGACTTATGTTGATGTAAGAGGACAATGGTAAGTGAGTGGGCTGTGTTGAACCATAGGTCTATTGTATTGCGTTGGTTTATCTCACTTCTGAAAGAGCTCCAGTTCTACCATCTGTTGGGCTTGATACCCCCTTCAAGGTTCTCATATTGACTGAATTCGGTACAGGGCGCCTGGCTTATGGCTAATTCGGCTAATGCCTTGCTCAAGGATTCTGATATGTTTAAACATATACACACCCAAATCCAAGTCTAATATAGTTGGGCCTCTAAAAGGGGTCAAATCAGTACACGAAGACATGTCAAGGCTGCACAGCAACTTCGCCGCTGTGCTTCCGTTGTGGAAACGTGGTGCCTCCTCTACATTCGGTGTTCTGGGGATTCCTTTTCGGGATTTGCTGCTTTGGGTGTAGGGGGGGGGGTCCCTGAGGATCTTCTAAGAGGGTCCCAGAGTTGCGCTAGGCTCGCCGGCCCGGCAATGTGCAAGGGCCGAAGATAGCCCTAATGCAGAGCAATCTCCCTGTCAGTCCCTTCGCATCAGATGAAGCATTTGGATTGTGCGATAGTTTGCTGAACGACACAGGATGGCCACTCCTGTTAACACCGCAAGGAGCTGTTGCTGTTGATGATGTGGGATGGGGGGGCGAGCTCTCGCACACTTTGTTGGATGTTTGCCTGGTTTGCCGATGCTGGTTTGCAACTGCTTCCAACTGGCTCCTGCCCATTTCTTCGGTAGTGCACTGCAAGGCATATCCCACAGCTCTTTTCTGTGAGGAAGCAGCTGACCTTGCAGATGTAGATAAGCTCTCCCGGCGAGCTGGTGATCTTCCGTACTTGGGTTTGTGCTGGTCCCGGAGCCGGGACCTGGTTTTAGAAAGCCTGACAGTTAAGGCAGGCCTAGCCCAACAGACCAAGCCTACGACCATCCCAGAGGCCAAGCCCTCAACCAAACTCCTCAAACGTTTACCAAGCCCTGTTTGGAGGATCCGGAGCATGAGCAAGCAGGTTTTTTTAATTAGACATGTAGTAAGGATAACCGGATACGGACAGCCGCTAACTCGGATGCGCCAACAGCGGTGGTGATTTCAGGACTACACGTCTCCTATAAGGAATATAGAAGCCTTGCTACTAGAGTCTTTGGGGTTTGAGTATGTGATAGTATACACACCTTTAACAAGGGGCCCGAGGGTAGAATATTGGCAAAGTATGCAGGCTTCTATATCAGCCCTAAAGCTTTAAGCGCTCTAACCAACAGCGCTATTCAGACACCCTGGTAGCCCTGTTCAGAAGACTTCAAGATAGTCCGAGCCCGCCAAGTAAACCCTAGCTTCTGACATGGCCCTAATGGAGAAGCCTGAAAAAATAGATCTACCCTTCCTTCGGGTGCCGTGCTATAACTACAGTGCAACCTAACCCCGAAACCCTACACACTATATCCTCATGATCGAGGCTCTGGGTAAACCCTGAGCCCCAAACCCTACACCCTAAACCCTCGATAAAGCCTAAACCCCAAACCCCCAAACCCTTCACCCTAAACCCTGGATAAACCCTAAACCCCAAACCCCCAAACCCTACACCCTAAACCCTGGATAAACCCTAAACCCCAAAACCCCCAAACTCTACACACTAAACGCTGGATAAACCCTAAAACTAAACCCTAAACCCCAAACCCCCAAACCCTACACCCTAAACCTTATAAACCCTAAACCTCAAACCCCCAAACCCTACACCTTAAGCCTTAAGCAGGCAGCTTGATGACCTCGAGGAGCTGGCTCCCCACGACAACCTTCCGGCGCAGGCGCTCGATTTCGGGGTTTAGGTTTTAGGGTTTAGGGTCCCAGTGAGGGTTTAGGGTTTAGGGGTTAGGGTCCCAGTTCGGGTTTAGGGTTTAGGGGTTAGGGTCCCAGTTAGGGTTTAGGGTTTAGGGGTTAGGGTCCCAGTTAGGGTT